CCGGGCCGTCCGGCCGAAAGTCCCAAATTTTTTTCAACCCCCTGACTGCCGTCACGTCATCTCTCTTCGTCCGCGCGGCGCGCCCCGCGGGTCGGCGGCCCGCAAGCTGTTTCTGTCTCTCTCGCACCTATACGAGGCCTCCGTGAGTGCGAGGGAGACAGAGCGACGAGAACGAACCTCGGAGTCAGTCCACCCACAGGGGCTCGAGCGTTAACGTTTGCGGGGTAACGATCTGAGTGTCGCACTGGACGGACATCGGAGAGAGAGAGAGAGAGAGAGAGAGAGAGAGAGAGAGAGAGAGAGAGAGAGAGAGAGAGAGAGAGAGAAGAGGGAGAGAGGGAGAGAGAGAGGGAGAGAGAGAGTGAAAGAGAGAGAGGGAGAGGGGGAGAGAGAGAGAGAGAGAGAGAGAGGAGAGAGAGGGAGGACGGAGAGAAGGGGGTGGAGGCTACGAATGTTGTTTCTAGTCACGTAACATCTGAGACGAGAGGGTGTATACATAATGCTCTAGGACGGTCAGCATGCCTGCACCTGGCCCGACGGGCCCGACCCTCCCCCACCCCTGCACCACGTCGTCGTGGCCCAGGCCTGCGGGCCTTCGGGGTCCCTTTCAAAGGATGGGAATGCCGGAGGCAAGGACGACCCTCCAGGCCGCCAGGCGATGTCCTCGAGGATGTCCTCCAAGACGACCGCAGCAGGAACGTAAGTCGTCGGCTCGCTCGCACCTCCTACAAGAGGAACACGCCCAAGTAAACGGAGTCTCTCTCACAAGTTCGTATCGGTGGTGAAGCCAGAGCGGTTTTGGTGGTCATTTTCTCGTTCCACAGTTGGCCAGAAGACCAGCGCTGGCAGACAAAAAACTAGACACGTTTTGAGTTCCGGAGTCTCTAAATAGGGCGCGAACCGAACGTGTGACCCCACCAATGGATTGCTCTCTGAACGAGGAGTCCATTGGTGGGGTCACACGCTCGGTTCGAGTCCCATTTAGCGACTCTGGAGCTCAAAACGCGTCCGGGGGATTTTTGCCGCATCTACGGTCTTCTAGTCCACTGTGCGTTCGTTGAATATTAAGTTTCCGTGTGTGGAGTAAAGGTGATGTGTCACGTGAAGACTAACGGCAGCTCGTTTTCAGGAGTGGCATACACCTTTGCCTCTCTTCAAACACCATCCAGCCCACAATGACGGAAGAATAACATATAAACACTTCGCGGAGATCACTTACTTCCATAAAAATGCACTTAAGTGACCAAACTATAAAACATCATTTAAACAAATTGAAAGGACGTAATCAAACGAGCTTTGCAGAGCACTCGGGTTTTCTTCGCTGAATACAACAAACAGCGCTCTCTGTAATGTTGCAAGAGTGTAGCATACCAAAATTAAATACAAAAACCTGCCACAACACAGCAACAACAAAATAATTAAATGATGGGGGAGGGCAGACCCAGATGACTGCCGTGTAGTTGTGAGAGAAGGGAAAACCACACACACACACACACACACACACACACACACACACACACACACACACACACACACACACACGGGGCTGCGTGCGTCTCCCTCGAGGGGAATCCATTCGCAAATAAAGCAGCCTTTTTGCGCGTAGTTACAGCACTGGCCGAGAAGTTCGGCGGCCAGCGGCCCCACACTGTGGGCCCCACAGGCCAGCCGGCCAAAGTCGGCCCTAGAGAGTGCAGCGCGGGCAGGCCGGGTAGGCCCAGCCAAGCAAGCCGCGTGGAGAAAAAATTATGTTCAACGAGGGAGGGAATAGGGCGGCGGTGCGGCGCACAGTGGGCCGAAAGGCCGGCGCTTGCGGCCAAAACTCCAGACGCGTTTTGAGCTCCAGAGGCGCTAAATGGGACTCGAACCAAACGTGTGACCCCACCAATGGATTCCTCGTTCGGAGAGCAATCCATTGGTGGGGTCACACGTTCGGTTCGAGTCCCACTTAGCGACTCTGGAGCTCGAAACGCGTCCGGGATTTTGGCCGCCTCCACCGGTCTTCTGGCCCACTGTGAGCCGCCAGCACTTTTCTTTTAATAAAGTTTTCCGCTCGAGTTCTGTTCCGTGCGGAAGATGCAAAGTTGCAGCGCGGCCCCCCTTTTATTTTTAAAGTGTACCTGCGCTCCGCGGCGCACGTTCGGCGGTTTCCCGTTACGGATAATCAACCCCGGCATTATCACGGCAACTAAATTTATGCAAAATATCGAAATAATATCTACGGCACGGAGCTCCCCGAGCGAGGCTAGCCCGAGGGCCGCAGGGCGTCACGGCGGCCGGGGACCCCCCCGCCCCCTCTCTCCTCCACCTCCCCCCCTCCCCCTCCCCTTCCTTCCCCTCCCCCCCTCCCTCCCCTCCCCCCTTTCCGCCCCGCTTTACCAAGTTCGGTCTCAGGTGGGCTTCGTATTTGCCCAAGTAGGTGGTCAGTTCAACCTCGCAGCGCGACGAAGCCGAGCCAGCGCGGTAATTTCACCCTCGCCCCGCTTCAATTAGAAGAAACTTGATACTTCGAAAGAGCCGCCAGTTCACTGTAAAATTAAATGACAAACTACGAACTTGTTCGAAAAGGCCGAAGGGTCAGTGGTGTGGACCCCTTGCCTTTGAACCACCAAGTCGATGCCTCGTCCACCTTGCGAGAGGGAGTCCTGTCTGTGTGTCCTTTGCCTGTGTCGGCAGTGACCCGGCCGGCGTGTAAGGGCTGGTGAGAGGGCCAGAAGACCGGTGGAGGCGGCCAAAATCCCGGACGCGTTTTGAGCTCCAGAGTCGCTAAATGGGACGCGAACCCAACGTGTGATCCCACCAATGGATTGCTCTCCGAACGAGGAATCCATTGACGGGGTCACACATTCGGTTCGAGTCCCATTTAGCGACTCTGGAGCTCAAAACGCGTCCGGGATTTTGGCCGCCTCCACCGGTCTTCTGACTCACAGTGGGGCGCCCTGCGCTGGGGGCCCTCGGGCTGAGGGCTGCGGCGACGCCCTTGCCGCCCTCTGCAGACTTCAGTCTCTTTTGCCGAGAAGGCGGAAACAACGTCCCGCCATCTTCCAAAAAAATAGACCACACAGCACACCATGCTTCAAATATATAAGAGTCTCGAATTTTCCAGCCTAAATAATATCCACTCAACTTGTTGGCCTTTTCGGGGGGCGCGGGCAGGCGAATATCAGCTTGCAGCGGAGCACGACGTGGGCCCATACGGGGTAGAGAGAGAGAAAGAGAAAGAGAGAGAGAGAGAGAGGAGAGAGAGAGAGAGAGAGAGAGAGAGAGAGAGAGAGAGAGAGAGAGAGAGAGAGAGAGACGCTCCAGTCACTTTTACAACAGCAAGCCTAACGGGCCTAATGTGGGAGCACAGCGAGGAATCTCTTGAGCGTGCTAATGAATTTATGCAAGGCTGCTGAGGAAAAGGGGGGGGGGAGGGGGCGAGTCTGCCGGAAGGCGCGACATGGAAGGTAAGTGGGCTTGAGCTGCTCCAGCTCAGTCCCGCCGGTGGAGCTGCCGTCCTGGACCGTACGAGTGCCGATGGAACGTCTCCTGCAGCCTGCACAGTGGGCCAGAAGACCGGTGGAGGCGGCCAAAACTCTCGACGCGTTTTGAGCTCCAGAGTCGCTAAATGGGACTCGAACCGAGCGTGTGACCCCACCAATGGATTCCTCGTTCGGAGAGCAGTCCATTGGTGGGGTCACACGTTCGTTTCGAGTCCCATTTAGCGACTCTGGAGCTCAAAACGCGTCTAGAGTTTTGGCCGCCTCCACCGGTCTTCTGGCCCACTGTGTGCTGCAGCCTAGTCCGCCCTGCTTCGCCGAGCCTGCCGCAGACCTTGCCGCAGCACTCGTGCACATTCCGAGAGGCGGGGACCACTCGGGCCGTTTATTGGGACTCGCGGAGAAGAAGAAGAAGAACAAGAAGAAGAAGAAGAAGAAGAAGAAGAAGAAGAAGAAGAAGAAGAAGAAGAAGAAGAAAAAGAAGAAGAAGGAGGAGAAGGGCAGCCTCCGCGGGGTGTGTAGTACAGGGGGAATGAATGGAATGTCGCATATGTTGCGGTGGCGCGCCCCCCCCCTCCCTAGCCCCACACAAGTGGGATGTCCCACATCACACACGTGCGACCATTGCCCACCGTTAAAACCACACCGTGTGCGTCCGGCAACCTGACGCTGGCTAGTTCCGAACAGTGCTTCATCACCCTGTCGCTTCTAGAAAACACTATCAATTTTCTGTTTCCATGGATGGGCAATCATCGGCGTGGATGACCTGCCCTCTCGGCTTTCTGTTTTATCGAGAATTTAATCTCCTGTTACGCAACGTTTCAACTCGATCCGACGTCACAGCATTCAAATGAGTGCCGAAACTGGCGCGCTTTCGTAGCCGGCGATGTAAGGTTGGTAGTGCGCCTCTCGTTTGTTTTCTGACTGTGAATAAGCCGTACTGTAAATAAGACGAGCCCAGCTGATAAGCCTGGACAAAGGACGTCAAACAAAGAACCACCTGTGGCCAGTCAGTAAATGTGTATTCCTGAATTCTGAATTAATCAGAGAAGAAATTATATCGAACTAGTGACGTCTCAGGGCGTTAGGCCCGGGAGGAGGGGAGTGCGGCTGTGTGGTAAGTCAGAAGAAGGCTGAAGACTGAAGTGTTTTAACCTACCTCGGAGCCGGCGGCCCTGCCAAGTGACAGCTGATTTGTACATTTTTAGCGCACGTAAGAAATATTTAAAAACAAATTGATTAGATGAATTATCAAAAAATATTGACGTCAATTCGCACATAAAAATAAATGCAATGAGCAGTATTTGCGTCGAACACACTAAATTACTATGAATGTTTTTCTGCGCGCTAATGCACGAAATTAAACTTGCACTTCGTAACGCACAAATTTGTGCGCAACAATGCACGGTTTTCTGCATACTTGCGCACGGAATCGTGCATTGTCGCGCACAAATTCGTGCGTTACGAAGTGCATGTTTAATTTCGTGCATCGCCGCGTAGAAAAACCTACGAAGTAATTTAGTGTGAAAGTTCGAAACCACCGATGAGCCCTTTTCCTGCAAACTTAAAGAGACATTCGTGATTAACGTAAAAACATGTCGTCTTAATCCTTAATGTTACAATAACTTTTCAATTCTACCCTGTGTCTTTATCTCTCCTGTGGCGTAAGTCCATCCCACTACTAGCGCCCCTGGCGGCAGAACCTTCGAATCTTGTCCGTGCCTTCCTTAGCCGAATATGGAAAATGTTGCGCTACGACGCAATGACGCGCCGGCCGAGTGGTGGAGGGAGGGAGGGGGGAGCCTTGGAGTGCGTGTAGGGGGCCGAACGGCGCGACGTTTAAATGTAGCTTAGCGGCCGTCCTCTCCGACGACGTGGTGGGCCCTAAAGAACGATGCATGATTGTATTCCCCAGTTCTACGCGGCATTGTCTTTCCCTTTTGTACGTAACCTTTTTGCGGTGTCTGCTGCGTTTGGCCTGTATCTTCCAACGTTTTGGTTTCGAATATATCCTATCAATGGCTCAGTGTTTTTCTCTTTCGTACAGCCACTGTTGGAACGACGCAGGAGCCTCGACTGGATGCCTCACGCAGAAAACCTTAAGAATTATGAATTCTGAGCTTATGCAAGGTGCAAACTATTCAATTTTTTGTACGAAGTATACTTTGTTTTCCTCAGTGAGCTACTCTTTTTAAAATAACAAACTCTTTTCTTTGCAAAGGCCTGAAACAGTTTGCAAGGTTTTGAGATTGCTGATAGCTGACCGTCACTGATATATGATCGCTACACAAGCATTCCCATTCCAAGCAGTTTCAGGATCGTCTCCCAAAAACGTTAAGGAACGAAGGCAAAATCTGCCAACGATACGATTGATGGTCAGTCTTACATTGCCGTATCACTGTGAGTGTTAATTTTTTTTTGCGAAGATTGCTTTTTGTTGACTCTTACTTTGATAATTATTGGTTTACTTGTATTGCAGATATTTAAGCAGTCTAAAATGTCATTTGACCCGGAGTCCAAGAAATATAAGATGTGTTACTCTCGGCGTGGCAAAGCCGTTATATTCAACCACGACTCCTCTAAAAATCCTCGCCCTGGATCTAGCGTTGATGTAAAAAAATTAGTTAACACTTATGAAAGCCTGGGATTTCAGACAAAAGTGCACAAAAACCTAAAATTTCAGAATATAAAATCCAAAATAAAAAAATGTACGTCAAAGTTCAATTTTGTAACCTAATGTAATGTTTATGTCATCTTTGAGAGCAACAACTAAAACAACATGTCTCTTGCTGCAGTAAGTAGAGAAGACTTCTCTGACGCCGATTGTTTGTGCATCACGGTGCTGACTCATGGATTGAGCAGAAATTACGTAGAAGCTTCGGATGTTGCGTACAAAGTTCATGAACTTTGGACTCCTTTTACTGACGACAAATGCAAGAGCCTGGCAGGAAAGCCCAAGCTCTTCATCATCCAGGTTAGTACGACAAGCACTCTAAATGTCTTACAATGAAATTTGAACTATGTTGTTCGTATGTTATAGTGAATTCGGCGCAAGCATAATACGAAGCAATATTCCTTCGTAATACGAATCTTTTTAGCTTTTTCATTGTAAGATACAAAGAAAACCTTCGTAATACGAAGAAAAACCACCTTCGTATCATGCTTGCGCCATTTCCTTCGTATTATGGGAAACTTCTTCGTAAGACATTCAGAGTGAGGTTCAAAGTTGCCGCTAAGTTTTCTTTTATTTCATCCCTATTGAAATCTTCATTAAAGGCTTGTAGAGGTGACAAGAGGGACTGTGGGACCATCTTAAATAATGAAGGCGGTACAGAAACTGACAATGGGGAATCCTACACAATTCCGAGTCATGCTGACTTTCTTTTAGCCTACAGCTCTGTTGAAGGTAAGATACATGTCTAGTTTTGTTGAAATTATGGTAAAACAGAATCAATGGAACAAATAGTGTGACTTGATTCTATTACTTAGGCACAGTCTCCTTCCGGAACAAGGAATCAGGGTCGTGGTTCATACAGATGCTGTGTGATGAATTACAAAAGAATGCAGCCAAAATGGATTTTTTAAAGCTGCTGACTACTGTTTCCCGCAAAGTGGCTCTTGATTTTGAGACTGAAAATGAATACAATCCAAGCTGCCACAAAAATAAGCAGGTAAGTTTTGTTTTCGAAATAGTTCCAATATTATAAACAAAAGTGTGTCTCACTCCACGACATTAACAAATTCCTCACAAACGTTTTCACCTCCGAAAAGGTTCCCTCTGTGGTCTCTACTTTGATCAGAGACATTCACTTTACCTCGGCCGGTGACAAGAGCTCCGGAAACCAGAACCAAATTGACGCCATCCAGGACATGGCAGGAAAGTGCGAACTTAGTGCGGACGGACTTCAAGACAGGAACTCTGACAGGCTTGCTCCCAACACGCCCGGAACGCCCATCCTGGAGGAGAAAGGATGTACTAGTTATAATAGTATGGCAGCGTGCTATCCGATGCACTCCCAAAAATCTGTGGCGTCGGTTTCATCTAATGCGAACGATATGACCGATATGCCCAATCCTTACAATCCATTGTAATTGTGGTTTTTTGTTGTATGATTTAACCGTTTACTTACATTAACTTTCTAAAAATTAGTTTATTTTACTTTACAGGAAAGACCATGTAGGGACTTCGCATGCCAAGATGCCAGTTGGCAAGGAGTCAAAGGAATATAACATGAGTCAGCACGGTATAGCTGTTGTATTCAACAATGGAACTAATGATCCTCTCTCTGGTTCTAAGTATGATGAAAATAAGCTAATTCAAACGTATGAAAACCTTGGGTTGAAGACAGAATTGCACAACAACGTTACAATGGCTGACATCCAATCCAAAATAGAAAATTGTACGCTAAAAATTTATTTTACAACCAATGTCAATTGATTAAAAAGATACCAGTTAATTTTAACGTGTGTCTATCTGCAGTAAGTAAAGAAAACTTCGACGACGCCGCTTGTTTGTGTGTGACGGTGCTTTTTTATGATGCCAACAGCGAAACAATGCGTGCCCTTGAAAATTTGTGGACACATTTTACTGCGGACCGCTGCAAGACTCTTGCAGGAAAGCCGAAGATATTCATCATCCAGGTTAGTGTGGGTCAAGTTGGTAAAAATTGGGTCATCGCGTTCATTGGAATCACAATTACAGGCTCGCAGAGGTAAACATGTCGACTCTGGGGTCGATAATGTACGAAGTACATGCTCAGAAACGGATGGCAGGAAAATGTACAGGATACCTAACCATGCTGACTTTCTTTTGGTGTACAGTACTGCAAAAGGTACTAGAACCGTTGAAATCTAGGTAACGTTTGCTGTATTTATTACAATCTGACTAATAATACAACTTTACTCTTAGACTGCGTGGCGTGGCGTGATTCTGAAAAAGGTTCATGGTTTATCCAATCTCTATGTGATGAATTACAATCAAATGCATCCGAATTAGATCTTTTAAAGCTCTTAACTAATGTTTCCCGAAAAGTTGCTCTTCATCATCAGTCGTCCGATGATCAAATGTCACGGCGCAATGAGCAGAAACAGGTAATATGCTTTTAAACATGACCAGTCCATTTGGTTATCACACGGTGAAAACCGAACCTGGTTTTCCCAGGAGGCCAATGGTGGAGGCACCGGCGATTTCCAGGGAGTTCCTGGAAAAAACAGGAACAGTTTTTATACCATTGAGAATCCACTCTACCCTATGGATATTTTGACGAATTTTGTTGGTATTATGGAGAAAATCTCCACCATAATATGTTGGTGCAGCCTTTCACCGTACGACATTTACAGTGTAGACTGCTGGTAGAAAATCTTAAATTTCATTCACTTTAGCATCTTCCTTTTCTACCAGGTACCCTGTGTTGTGTCAATGTTGATAAGAGATGTGTACCTACGCCCTAAAACTTAAGCTGAAACATGATTGGAGAGCAAAATGAACTTCTTTCTTCGACGGTTTGAAGCTCTCTTAGCTTAGGTTAAATCCCAGTTCTTTTAGTTCTTAAGTAAAATGTTACAATAGTTAAAATTTGTTAGGTTAGGTTTTTCTGCTCAAAACGTCCCTTCATCAGGGCTTCTTTTTCTTGGGACTGAAAAAAAAAACAGTATAGTCCAAAGAATATGTAAAGCTTGTGGCTAATTAAAGGGGAATTAAAAATCAAGCCCCACCTGACCACCAAGGGAAGTTTCTAACGGCTATTTCCAGCCCTGAAGAGCTCCACTTAGTGGTTGGGCCCAAGAACCCATACTTATGTGTCTCTTATTCACCCAAATCCACTTCACATCTGCCAGAAAATATCCTTCTTGCCATAGCAACCGACCAGTGAACGTTCTTGAATTTTTAAAAGCGCAGTCTTTTTGACATCACCCGGAACTGCCGTTGCATGCCCCCACCCCCTTTTTGCAACATCCCGTGCCCCTCTTCACACTGTCCCTTCTTCCAATCAAAAGTTAGGAGGACGCTTCACGCTTGCGGACGTTACTCCAAGTAGCTAAACTCGGGCAGGGAGTTTGAGGGAGGGGGGAGGGAAGGGGGAGGGTTCAGCAGGCTGTCGAACAACGCTCGGACCGCACCGCCCGCGCGTTCACAGTCCCTGGCCACTCCGCCCACCCTCTCCCCGGCTCAAATTAAATAATTGCTTTATTGAGGGAGAACATGAGAAGTTCACACCGAAGTGAGGCGGGCTCGTCTGGCCGCCTTTCCGACCGGCGAGGGCCAAGTTTTCTGCAGCCCCCTCTCTGCAATGGCGCCAAATGAAGCAGTGGCGCGAGCGTGGAGTGACTTGACGGCCCCGCACGTAGCCCTGAAGGCGAACCAACGCAGTGGAAAGAAACTTGCACAGTGGGCCAGAAGACCGGTGGAGGCGGCCAAAACTCCCAACGTATTTTGAGCTGCAAAGACGCTAAACAGGGCTCGAAGTGAGCATGTGACCCCATCAACGGATTCCTCGTACGGACAGCATTCCATTGGTGGGGTCACACGTGCGGTTCGAGACCTGTTTAGCGACTCGGGAGCTCAAAACGCGTCTGGATTTTTGTCCGCCTGCACCGGTCTCCGAGCCCACTGTGCAACGGCAAACCGAGTGGGAAATTTCGGGCGGGAGGGCCAACTCCCAAGGAGGAAGAGAACGGGCCCCAATGAGCATTGCCTCAAAACCCAGGACAGTTTCATTGGTGCGGGACCGGGGGCGAGACCAGGCCCGGGAGTCAAAACGCCATTTTTTCCGCAATCCACCGGCGAGCTCGACTGGAAGGACCGGGGGAATTTCGACGGGGGAACACTCACCGCAGGAAAAGCGGGGCCTTTTAACCCGGAAAAACGGACCGATAAGTTCCGGCCGGCGCGCGCCCTCCGCCCCCCGTCCTGGAAGGCGGTTTCCCAAAAAGGGTCGGAAAAGGGGACACTCATCCTCTAAAATTCTTAGCAGCAGCGGATCTCATGCATTTTTAATTCGTCGCGGGAATTCATTGTCCCCTATTATCCAGCCAACCCCTTTCACGCCCGCCCCGCACAGAGGGCCAGAAGACCGGTGGGGCCGGCCAAAACCTTAGACGCGTTTCAGGCTCTAGAGTCGTTAAATGAGACTCGAATCCGGCTCGTGATCCCAGCAATGGATTCCTCGTTCGGAGAGCAATCCATTGGTGGGGTCACACGTTCGGTTCGAGTCCCATTTTGCGACTCTGGAGCTCAAAACGCGTCCCGGTATTTTGACCGCCCCCACCGGTCTTCTGGCCCACTGTGTGGCGTGCGTTCTTTCCGCAACCCGGCCCACGTGGCTTTACTCCCGTCTTCCTCGTGACCCCTGTCTCGTCCTCTGGGGACGCCATCACATCCTCGCTCGTTCCATCCTCCTTCGTCCTCCTTTGCCGCAACCATCTCTCTCTCTCTCTCTCTCTCTCTCTCTCTCTCTCTCTCTCTCTCTCTCTCTCTCTTTTTCTCTGCCGGCACTCCAGGATTCCTGCGCAGCGTCCAGGAGCCAAGTGGAAATCAACGTGAAAAATGAAATTTGTATCGCGTTGAGGGATTCCCCTTGGATTCCCCGGACGAGCGCCGCAGAAACCACTGCCTTACCACCGGCTAGCCGGGGCGGGGCGGGGCGGGGTGTGGTGGGGCGGGGCGGGGCGGGGCGGGGCGGGGCGGGGTGGGGTGCGGCGGACCTCCCTCAAGGATTCGTCTTCCCCTCAGTCCTTCCATTACGACCTCCCTTTCTTCGTCTTCGTTCCGGCTGTCCAGGCCCGCAGTGCAGCCTATAGGCTACCCGATGCACACTGGGCCAGAAGACCGGTGTAGGCGGTCAAAATTCCGGACGCGTTTTGAGCTCCAGAGTCACTAAATGGGACTCGGACCGAACGTGTGAATGGATTCCTCGTTCGGAAAGCAATCCATTGGTGGGGTCATACGATCGGTTGCCGTCCTGCTTGGCGACTCTGGAGCTCAAAACGCGTCTAGGGTTTTGACCACCCTCACCGGTCTTCTGGCCTACTGTGTGAGGTCGCCAACTCTTCACTTCACTTCACCAACTTATGTGGCTGCTCTGATGGTGAGAAAAATCAGACAATCTGAATAGTTCCCCAGCAAATCCGGCCCTGCTGACAAACCACTTTCCCGGTTGGGTCGAGTACACACACCGGCTGTTCATTGCAGTGCCTCAGTCCCCATGGCCGGTAGGGGGTCTCGCCACTGGGGGCTCCGCACCGTGGCACAGTGGGCCAGAGGACCGGTGGAGGCAGCCAAAACTCTAGACGCGTTCCGAGCTCCAGTGTCCTAAAAGAGACTCGAACCGAACGTGTGACCCCACCAATAGATTCCTCGTTCGAAGAGCAATCCATTGGTGGGGTCACACGTTCCGTTCGAGTCCCATTTAGCGACTCTGGCGCTCAAAGCTCGTCTAGTGTTTCGGCCGCCTCCACCGGTCTTCTGGCCCACTGTGGGGGGCTCCCCAGTGCCCGCTAAACTCCGGTGGCCCTTGGCCGGGTCCCTGATGAGCGATGAGCCCCGGCAGCGTAAATCCTCCCCGCGATCGCCGTCCATCGACAAATTTGGCCAACTCAAATATTGATTCAGTTCGGCGCGACCGACGCGCTCCCTGGCGGCCGAAGTGCTCGAAGCGCCGCCACTGGTAAGTGCTGCCAGGGCAAACTTGACAAAAAAACGTGGACCGACTTCAGGTGGGTGCCTCTCTTCACACGGCAAAAACGATTCCTGGATTTGGATGAGAGCCTATAGGCAACGTGATTTCTGGATTTCCAAGAGAGCCTTTAGAAAACGTGATTTCCTATCTAAGACGTTCATCACCTAAAACCTATCTGCAAGGAATTGATTGATATTCCTAAGAATCACGGGAGATTTTTCTTGTGATTGACCAATTTTCCTGTGAATCGCGGAAGATCAATTCACCGTGCTGGGTAAACTGGGAACGTTCTCCGACGTGCAGCGACGTCCAACAAAAAGTAAACGGGAAAATAAAATTTTGCCATCCGATGCAAAGCGCTCGACACTTACAGATTACGGGGTATTACTCACTTTTCCTCGTCGGGCAAAAACACTCCTGAGTCGTTTGCGAAGCCCAGCGGGGTTGACTTCGTCCACAGCGCAAAAGGATGCAGACAACAAGAACAACAATAGCTTTTGCATCTTTCCAATCCCCGCGAAGCCTGCTGCACGGCGCAACTTTTTACTCCTCCGCTGCAGGACATCTCTCTCTCTCTCTCTCTCTCTCTCTCTCTCTCTCTCTCTCTCTCTCTCTCTCTATCTCTCTCTCTCTCCCTCTCTCCATCTCTCTTCTTGCCGGCCCGGGATTGTAGGTCCGCCAGATGAGCGGGGTCTCCGTGCTCTGATTTCGCTGATGAGCCGCCGGGCTCCAGAGGATCCGTTTGCCCCCGCCCCCTCCCCTCCCCGGACCAGTCGCGATCCCGCGCCCAACCTCAGCAGTTCTACGTGGCGTAGATCGTCGATACGCAAGCAGAGCCCCCACGATGCACCCACGCACAGTGGGCCAGAAGACCGGCGGAGGTGGCCAAAACTCCAGACGCGTTTTGAGCTCCAGACTCGCTAAGCAGGCCTCGAACCGAACGTGTGACCCCACCAATGGATTCCTCGTTCGGAGAGCGATCCGTTGATGGGGTCACACGTTCGGTTCGAGTCCCATTTAGCGACTCTGGAGCTCAAAACGCGTCCGGGATTTGGACTGTTTCCACCAGACGCCCGGCTGGTAGGCAGCGCGGGGCACGCCTGCGTGGCGGGCAGGCCTATGCTGCCGACTACCATTACCGCAGGCGGACCACCGAGCGGTGGAGTCGCATCGCCGCTCTGTCCCTGTTGCACGCGTGAGGAGTCCCGTGTCCCATGTCCCACCCCTACACGGTAAAAAACGGAACCTGGTTTTCCCAGGAAGCCAATGGTGAAGGCATGGGCGATTTCCAGGGAGTTCCTGGGGAAACCCGGAACCGTTTTTACCGTGTAAATCTGATTATTCTGTGACCAATCTCTCCCGCCATCTGCATGTTTTTTCTTCAATTTTAGTCTGATTTTAGCAGTGTGGCAGCGCCCCAGTCGTTGGCGGGTCGCGCACTCACCTGCATTATTCAGACGTGTGATTGAGGACAAGCGGCCGCGTCCGAAACGTGCGAAGCCGTGCAGAAGAAACGCGCTTTGGCTCGCGGAAGCAAATAAAAAGCAGGAAGAAAAAAAAGATGGCAGCGGCGGTATTCGAACGCGGACCCGCCGCAGCGGCAGCGCAGTGCCTCGGCCGGGATGAGGATGAGCTTCGCGGCGATCAGGATTCAGTCTCGGAAAATCCCTCAATCCCTCCGGCGGAGCCACGGCCGTGCACGGCAGACTCGCCGCGCAATACAATCGCACAAGGCGTTCCGCGGATCAGACCTCTCGGTGTGTGTGTGTGTGTGTGTGTGTGTGTGTGTCTGTAGGCATGTAAAAGGTGTGTGTGTGTGGGTTTGGGAAGGAGTTGCATGCGTCTGAAGCTGTCTGCGCGTAGCTGTCTGCTGTCTTATTTCAGTATCTGTTAGCAGGTACCTGATTGTGTGTGTGTGTGTGTGTGTGTGTGTGTGTGTGTGTGTGTGTTTCGCTAAGGGGTTGTACGCGTCTGAAGCCGTCCGTGCGAGGCAGTGCGAGGCCGTGTCTCTGTCTCTGTGCGTCTGTTGGCGTGCATCTGTTTGTGCGTGTCTGCGCGAGCGGCGCATGTCGGCGCGTCTTAGCTGTCTTCCAGACATGTAATATTGCCTGTGATA